GGGAATAAGCCGAAGGGTCATCACCCACCGCCTCTCGGTGGACCCCTCGGCAAAAGCAGTACAGCAACGAAGAAGACCCCTCTCGGCCGAGAGAAAGGAATTTGTGAAGAAGGAGGTCGCCATGCTCCTCTCTATTAAGCACATCAAGGAGGTGAAATATCCCTCATGGCTGCCCAACGTAGTCCTCGCACAGAAGCCCCCTACCTTCCGCATGTGCGTGGACTACACCGATCTCAACAAGGTGTGCCCTATGGATCCATTCCCTCTACCAAATATTGATCAACTGGTGGATGAGACCGCATGGTGTGAGATCATGTCCTTCCTCGATGCCTTCCGAGGGTATCACCAAATTTTCATGCACGAGGAAGACGCCGAAAAAACTGCCTTCATGACTCCCGAGGGCATCTTCTGCTACCTGGTAATGGCCTTCGGCCTAAAGAACTCGGGGGCCACCTACACCCGGATGGTGGCCCGGATCTTTCAAGCCGTCCTAGGGCGCACCATGGAGGCCTATGTTGACGACATGATCGTCAAGAGCAAACAATCTTCCAGCCATGCCGACGACCTCCGAGAAATCTTCGCCATCATGCAAAAATTCAACCTTCGGCTAAACCCGAAGAAGTGCACCTTCAGCGTCCAAGGGGGCAAATTCTTGGGCTACATGGTGAGCCGAAGGGGTATTGAGGCCAATCCCGAGAAGATCCAGGCCATCATCGACATGGAACCCCCACGCAATGTGAAGGAAGTATAACGGTTGACGGGCCGCCTGGCAGCCCTCAACCGTTTTCTATCTAAATCAGCGGAGAAGTCTTTACCCTTCTTCCAAATCATGAGGAAGACGACTGGTTTTCAATGGACTTCAGAATGCCAGGAGGCTTTCGACGAGCTCAAACGATATCTATCTTCACCTCCTGTGCTCTCCAAACCCAAGGTAGGGGAGACCCTCTACCTCTACCTTGGGGTCAGCCCGGTGGCCATCAGCTCTGTGCTCATCCGGGAGGAAGACGACATCCAACATGCCATCTTCTACGTTAGCAAGACCCTAAGGGAGGCCGAGCTCAGGTACTCTCCTGTGGAAAAAACGGTGTTAGCCATCGTTTGGACCGTCAAGAAGTTGGGCCACTACTTTCAGGCTCACCCGGTTCAGGTCCTCACTCATCAACCCCTCGACGCCCTCATGAGGAGCCCCACCAGCTCCTCCCGCATGGTGAAATGGGATATCTTCTTGAGCCAGTACAACATTGACATCCGTCCAAGGCCTGCCATCAAGGGCCAAGCCCTGGCGGACTTTGTGACGGAATGTACCGCAAGGGCAGCCACGGACGGGGAGCCCTCGGCTACCTCGGACGACTGGTGGACCCTCTACACCGACGGCTCCTCCGCGACCAAAGCATGCGGGGGAGGGGTGGTCCTCATTACTCCCGAGGGCTTCAGAGCCTACTATGCAATCCGCTTCTCTTTCAAAGTCTCCAACAACGAGGCCGAGTATGAGGCCCTCCTATGTGGCCTTCGGCTGGCTGCAAACATGAAGGCTCGGCAGATCCACATCAAATGCGACTCCAAGTTGGTCGTTGGCCAAATCTCCGAGCAATATGAGGCCAAGGAGGGAAGAATGAAACAGTACAAAGAGGCGGCCAAGGAGTTGCTTAAGGTATTTGAGGCACACTCTCTCACCCAAATACCGAGGGCTCAGAACTCCGAGGCCGACATACTATCTAAGCTCTCGGCCGACTCCCCCGAGCACATCTCCAAGATTGCTAAAATGGAGGAACTCAGCCTCTCAAGTATCCATGCAAGCCCCGTCATGAACATACAACAACGTCAAGAGGATTGGATCTCAGATATCACTGCCTTCATCTCCACAGGGCAGCTACCCGAGAATGAGACCCGCGCTAAACTGGAAAAACTGAGGGCTCCTAGCTACACCATTGAAGACGGAAGGCTCTACAAACGGTCTTACAACGGCACGCTACTCCGGTGCCTTCATCAGGATGAAGCCGAGGTTGCGATGGAGGAGGTGCACAGTGGCACTTGCTCAGCTCACCAGGGACCCTTCTCCATGTCCCGAAGGCTCATTCTCCAAGGCTACTTCTGGCAAACCATGGCCAGGGATTGTGCTGACCTTGCCCGAAGATGCCCCGCATGCCAACATTTCCAGAAAGCCCCCGGCAGGCCAGCGGTCAACTATGCCCCCATCAGCACATCCGTCCCCTTCGCTCGATGGGGCATAGACCTTGTGGGCCCTCTGCCGAGGGGTACCTCCAACAACAGGTACATCATTGTGGCCATCGACTACTTTACCAAGTGGGTGGAGGCTGAGCCCCTCGCCAGCATCACGGAGGCGAAGTGTCGTCACTTCATCCTCAAGAACATCCTCACAAGGTTTGGCGTCCCCCAGCAGATCATCTCCGACAACGGAACACAATTTGAGGCAGCCCCCTTCTGTGCCCTTCTGGAGGCATGGGGCATCAAACACACCTTCTCCTCCGTTGCCTACCCTCAAGGCAATGGGCAAGTAGAGAATGCCAACCGGACCTTGCTCGAGGGCCTCAAAAAGAAGCTGGAGGCCGAGGGCGGTGGCTGGGTGGAAGAACTCCACAACATCCTTTGGGCCTACCGCACCACCCCTCGGCGAGCAACAGGCTAAACACCCTTCTCCCTCTGCTACAGTTTTGAAGCCAAAGCTCCTACGGAAGTCACCCTTCCCACCCGGAGGGTGATCCAATATGACCCCGAGGTCAACGACAGCAACATGGCCCTCGACCTCCACCTCCTTTCAGAACGCCAGGAGCAAGCCTTCATCCGAGCGGAGAACTACCGAAGGCAAGTCAAAGACTACATCGACGACAAGGTTCGCACCCGAGAATTTCAAGTGGGGGACTATGTCTTCCGGAGGAGGGAAGCCAGCCAACCAACCGAGGGAGGAAAAATGGCACCAAAATTCGAAGGCCCCTACATCATAGCAGCCATCATCAAACCCGGGACTTACAAGCTCAAACGCCCCAACGGGAAAGAGGTCCCTAGGCACTGGAATGTACACCACTTAGTTAAATTTTATCAATAATGTAAGAGCGGCCAAGCCCTCATAACTAGTGAATGTACTATCATATGGCCCAAGGCCTCCAATTTTGAAGAATGAAGACACATACAAGACATCAAGAATGAAACACTTATGAGCGGCCAAGTCCTCATACTGACTACAGGCCCCAGGCCTCACCACGAGGAGAACCCCCTCCGGCACCAAGTGCCGAGGGCGGACACCATCAACACCTATGACAACAGTGAAAACACCATGTGTTTTCAGCCAAGACCCCTCGGTACCAAGTACCAAAGGTGGGAACCCCCCTCACCGGCAACAGGAAACACCAAGTGTTTCATTTCAAGACCCTTCGGCACCCAGTGCCGGGGGTACACATCTCCACCTTCAACATAAAAAAGAAGAACACCTTGTGTTCCTACAGAAGACCCCTCGGTACCAAGTGTCGGGGGTACACATCTCACCCATCAACGTCAAGTAGAGGAAGAACATTAAGTGTTCCTACAAAAGACCCCTCGGTACCAAGTATCGGGGTCTACACATCGAAACTAACACCAAGTGTTGTTTCTAAAAGTCGTACCCCACGAGGACGCGTATACCGAAGGCGCCACCATCGGTGCCGGCGGCACGTAGTGCCTCCGGCCATTTGCAACTAGTGTGCAAATGAAAACCCTTCCTTGAAACGCTTTCCGCGTCACTACCCCCAGGGTATGACAGACATGAGAAATGCCCAGGATTCGACTTTCAAAATCGGAACGCTATCCGCGTCATCACCCCAAGGGTATGACAGGCACGAGAAATGCCCAGGATTCGACTTCCAAACCGAAACGCTCCCCGCGCCACCACCCCAAGGGTGTGGCAGGCCACGGGCTATGTCTAGCGCCGAGGAGACGACTTTCAAAAATGAGGCGCTTTCCGCGCCATCCCCCAAGGGGAGGCAGGTTACAGACCATCATATCTTGTACCCAGGAAACGACCCTCGATCCCCTCGGAACTCGGAAGGTTAACCCGAGGGAGGAGAGCCATTGGTGTATTCTGATGGTCTCCTAATAGGCCCAGCCTTACCAAGAAACCAAGTTTCTTGATGCCTTCCCTTCACCACCAACCAAAAAAAAGAGGGGGTGAAGGGGAGTAGACTCAGCGAGAAATCAAAGAGTACACTCCAACAGATCACAACATGCCGAGGGCTCCCCACGGGAACACCTCCGGTAATTGAAAGCTCCTATTTCCCGAAGGACACTACTCAGACAAATATCGTCAAGAAATGGCTAAGTCCACTGCTTGGTCACCTCCGGTCACACAAACACCGAAGGCTTCAACAATACGAAGGGACTGGACTATCCAAAGTCTACTAAACGGTACTTCAAACAAATACCGAGGGCATCTGTAATGCACTAATACCGAGGGCCCTTACCCCATGACAAGGGACACAACTGGCTAAGTCAAACTCTACAACTTTTCAAGTAATTGCCGAGGGCACATACTCCTCATCGGCTTTCTTTACAACAACAGGAGTCCACACTTTTCCTAAGTCCACACTTTTGGAAAATGACAACAGCCGGAGGCTAATATATCACCCGACAACCGAAGGCATCTATTACAAATCATCAAAGGCCAAACCGAGGGGGCTTATTCCAAAACATTTCCCCCCGGACAGACTCCTCACTGACCGAAGGTTCAACATCTACAACACACTTTGAGATCTTTCTAGGTCCCACATATTTGGCCCTCGGTCAAATACTCATACAACACAAGGGCCTCACGATCACCCGAAGGGTCCTATTCATATACCCAGAGGGATCTACATCCGGAAGCTCAACATCAATTAACGCTTAGAGAATATTCTAAGTCCTAAAGATTGGCCCCCCGGCCCAATCAATATTACAGCTAAGGGAATATGATAGCCGAAGGCTATGCGATACAACAGCACTTAGAAAATTTTCTAAGTCCTACATGTTTTTCCCTCGGTCAGCTACTCATACATCAAGAAGGGATGCCATCGCCCGAAGGCTCCCAAGGGAAAAGTTACACTTGGAAATCTTTCTGAGCCCTACATATTTCACCCTCAACTTATAAAGGGACCCAATAGCCGAAGGCTACCTATCAATCAAAGGCTACAGTACACAAGGAATCAACACTAAGGAAAATTTTCTAAGTCCTAAAGAATTGGCCCCCCGGCCTAATCAACATTTCAGTTGGGGCTCCACAGTAGCCGAGGGCTACATAACACACTACATTTGCAAAAATTCTCTAAGTCCCAATAACATGGCCTTCGGCCATCACTAAACCACCATACATTCATACGTGAGGAAAGCATAAAGGAGAAAGCATACATTCAAACATAGGGCGCATTCAAATGTGAAAAGCCCCGGGGCAGCATGCATTCATCAAGAACAGAAGTAAGTGTAAAATTACAAACAGTCCGAAGCCGAAGGATCAAGAGTGTTCATTACAAAAATTTGTTCCGAAATTTCTAAGTACAGAATCATTCAACAACCTCAACAGCATCATTCCCCGGGGCGTCCTCTGCAGCCGGCCTCGACGATACCTCCGCTCCGGCCTCAACAACGTCGTCCTCGGCCTCCTTCTTCAGCTCTGTGTCCTCAAGATCGGGCCGTTGTACACCTTCGGGAAGGGATTCACGGACATCAGGCTGCAGGGGAGGAAGGCCATATGCCGAGGGGGCGAAGTCCTTTGGCTCAATGTTCAGGTGCCGGGCCATCCTCCGATAGACGAGGGCCTGGGTGAAGAATTCGCCGGCCTCATAATATTCCCTACCCTTCCGGGCCATCCATTCCCACCCAGGGCCCTCGGCCCATTCATCAACGCATGCCTCCACGACCGAGGACACCCACACCTTGCGTCCCTCGGCTCTCCAACCCTCGGCGACGAAGGCGTCAACGGCCTCCTCCTGAGCCTTGGCGACGGCTAGCGCCTTGGAATCCTCGGCCTCTTTGGAAGCTCTCCTGGCCTCCTCAGCAGCGGCCTCGGCATCAGCCTTGCTCTTTTCTGCGGCCTCCAATTTTAGCTTCATTTGCCGAAGCTCCTCTTCTAGCCTGGCCCCCAGCTTCACGGCCTCCTTGTTTTTGAGGATACACTCCCTCATTTTGGCGTCCTGCTCCGCTTTATGGAGGCGCCATTCTTGAAGCCTCCGGGCCTGTTCGCCGAGGGCTAGACAAGCCTACGGATCAACAACAAAAACGGTTAAAGGCAGTCACGCAAAATGATCAAAGGAAAAGAGGAAGAAAGCCGAGTGAACACTTACAGAGAGGGAGGAGCGGAGAATGTGGTCTTCGAGGGCCGCATCATTATAAGCCCCGAGGGCAGCCCTATCCGTCTCAGGGGTTATGCCCCTCAAGATGGCCCCCGGGTCAACAGCGCCACTGGCCAGAGACGTACCCCTCGGAAGAGAAACATGGAGGACCTCAGGCAGCAACTCCTCCGCCCCCACCGGCGGTCCATCCGATGGTTTCTCCACATGCACCCCGGAGGCGGGGTGCTCATCAACAATCACAACCGGGGGCTCTTTATCGGTGATATCCCCCTTCTTCGGCTTTTTGGTAGCCGGGGGGACCCCTTGGTCGCCGCCTTCCTCTTGCTAGCAGCGGCATCGCCCTCGGATTTCTTGAAGAGGGCAGTGGCGGGCTTTTGGTTGCCCTGTCCCGACCCCTTCGGGTCCTCTTTCTTCAGACGCGCAAGGCCCTTCACGTTCACCATGGACACGGGGATACCTGCAAAAATACGACAAAGGATTAGGCCGACGGGTCGACAGCGAAGGGACAATGACATCCAAGCAAAAAAAAAAGAAAAAAAACTAAGTATAAAAATCTAAAGCCCTCAGCTCCTACCCCCGGCTCCTCCGAAGGCCTTGTTGAAGAGAGGATACTTCTCGTCGGTCTCCCCTATGAAGCGGTACCTTCGGAACCCGAGGGTGTATAAGTCTTCCTCAAGGGTGCAATCTTTGATCGCCACATTCTTATTCTTCCCTTCCGGGAACTTGGCGAGCTTTAGGCCGTCTTTCTCGAGGGCAACACTCCTGATCTTTTCGGGCCTTCGGAATCGATCGCGCAGTTCCCTCGGGAATGGGTTCTCGCCCAACTTCACATAGCACCAACGTTCCCTCCACCCTTTGTTTGAAGAAGGGGCATCGGAGAATAGTTTGAAACGGGCGATCTGCTGCAGATTCACGTATCCCTCGCCGTTTTCGTGCCCCCCTCGGCACAGATTAAAGCTCTGGAAGAATAGATCCAGGCTGGGCTTCACCCCTCGGGACTTGCAGAGCTGGAGGAACCCCGCAATGTAGGAGTGGCTGTTGGGCGTAAGCTGACAGGGGACCAAACCAACAAACCTCAGGTACTCCCGAAGGAACGGGTGCAGAGGGAACCTAAGTCCCATAGAAACCGAGAGGACGTGAATGGCGATACACCCCTCGGGCCCCCTGGACAACACGTCGTCAGGACCCGGCTCCACCACTTCGACCGAGGGCCCCACGTGCAGCTGAGTAACGTACAGATCTGCCCTATCGGCTTTCGACTTAATCTCGAGGGCCTCAGTGTTCAACCAACTGTACCCCTCGGGCATGTCCACTGACTTTCCTTGATCAACATCCCTCTCCTTCTTTTTGGTAGCGGCCTTCGCCTTCTTCTTCTTCAACCCGGAGACCGCCCTCAAAGGTGTCGGATCTAGCGGCCTCGAGCTACTCGCTTCCCCAGAACCCCCGGGGGGGGGGGGGGGGAGAACAACAACTGTAACCTTCATGCTCTCATTTTGTGCCTCATCCTCCGCCACCTGGTACGCGAAGGCTAATTCTTCATCTTCGCACTCCTGTTCGAAGCCCTCAGCTTCCACTTCAGCAGCAAGGGCCTTCTGCAACTCCAAGGCTACAGTTTCGTCATCGGCAACCGAGGGCGCACTGCTAGTTGACTCAACATCGGAAGCAACCTCGTCCTCAACCGAGGGCTCCCTCGAGATATTCTGCGAGTCGCTTTGGGACGACATCCTTGGTGTACTTAAGCTAAGACTCCTAAACCGAGGGTTCTCTACAAAGCTCTAACACCTAACCTAAGGCCAGGGAGCAAAAGCTTACGAAAAACGGTGAGGAACGAAGGAAGAACTGACCTCTGAAAGTTGCTGTGATCGAGGGTGATTTTCTCTCTCTAGAAAAATTCCGACAGAGCTTCGCTAAGACAGGTGATCGCGCAAGAAGAAATGACTCTAGCTCTGGGGTATTTATAGGCGCTGGAATCCGGGCTTGGGCCCGGAAACCGGGCCTCCGGACGGACCGTCATCATTACGCGCCGTGTTTTCACCCAACCGGTGACGCCGCCCACGGACAGCCAACCGTCACGCGCCACGTGTCCTCCTCCCCCAACGGCTATATCCCACCGATACATATTCCAACGGCTATATTTCAAACGGCTATATTCTGGAAGCCCCTGGGTTTTCTACTTCACTCCACTTCATCAAGGAGAGCCTCCGGGTACACCTACCCAGAGACGCCCCCAGGTTGTGCCCCACACAGCACATAACAGACGCCTTCGGGATCACTCCTTCAGAAGCCCAAGGCTTCATGACAGGCCACCCCCGGGAATTCCCCCTCAGCACTGTAAGGACCGGGTAGCCCCCGGGGAGTTGCCTCATTGACGGATAGCCCACAGCACACAGGTAATGGGAGCCCTCGGATATCCTCATCACCAACTAACCAGCAAGCAGGGGACCCCCCGGTAACAACTCAACTACTGCCCTCATTCATCACGCCCTCGATCCCCAGATCGAGGCCCCCCCCTGGTACCTCCCAGGACATCAACAGCGTGCCTTCGGCAATACAACAAACACGCCCTCAGACTATGAGAGCCTTCGGCATCAACATTTCGCTTCATTCCAAACCAAGGCTTTAACCTTTTTGATTCATCCTTGGGGGAATTCGGTGCACTCTTTTTCCCTCATTAAGATTTTTTCCCACAGGGTTTTTCCTAATGAGGTTTTTAACGAGGCATCCCCCCAAAATGAAACGAAAAGCGTCAGCCTTCGGCCCACAACAGCAACGCAACTACTCTACTCCTTTTCACCACTTTACAAGTGCCTCAAGGAGTGGGGGACTGGAGGACCCCCTCGGGAAATCATTAAATTACAAAATTGGTGAAAAATTCCAACAAACGGCAAAGCAAGCCCTCAAGTCCCGACATGTTGGTAACTGAGGGACTGCCTTCGGCAGGGACATGAAAGCAACAACTCCTCACCAACTTCAGAGATTACGACAGGACAACATCAAAGGGCAAGCACAAATTACTCCTTTTCCTTCAAGTACCTTTCGGCAAAAGGAGTGAGGGACTCCTGATGGAGTATATGGCCCGGGAACCCCCGGTCCACAGACTCCTACTACTCCAGTAAAGGCCCAACAGGCCCAGAAGGCCCAACAGGCCCAAATCACAGCGCCCAGAGTACCGAGCAGCCCGCAATACGCACCAGGGGTGCCTTCGCCCCCCTGGCCGAAGGCTAAAACTCTCACAGAACGGGTTTCTCAAGCAAACTAAGAAATTGAGAGAAAACGGCGAGAACAGTAGCCCTCGACACCAGGAGCCCTCGGCACCAGGGTGCCCTCGGTTTGAGGAGCCCTCGGCTACTGCTCTATAGCCGAAGGCACCTCACTCGACAAGATCTCTCCTCTTCACGCGCGTACAGATCACGGTACCCTGTACAACGTCCCATCCAACAGCCGCATTAAATGCGGCCACATGCGGTTGCCAGTGCCAACCGGATGAGGTGACCTCTCGGCCAATGGATGCTTGACACGTGTCCCTGTCCGGCATTTATTGCTACTATAAATAGCACCCCCTTTTCCCCGTTGTAGACCACGACATTCATACTGAATACACTCTCTCTCTTACTTACTTGTGCTCTGACTTCTCTCTAAGTTATTCTCAGCAATAACCCCTCGGATAAGCTACCCCCGGGTAGACTATCCATCAAAGTCTGACGCTAAAATTAGGTGATGAAGAAGGGTGGGGAAGAATTTGATGTCGGGGCTGAAATCATGTGATGAAGAAGGTTGGTGAAAGGGATGAAATATCGAAGAAACCAGGATTAAAAGGGAGGGATAATTAAATGGAAGATGTCTAAACCGTAAGGACAACTAAAAGTGAGCTGAATCTATTAAGTCAAAAAGATCGGAGCGAATAAATCACATTTAATTTAACATAAAATCGTAAGTAAACACAATTATATAGGTGAACGAATAAGTCACAATCTATTCAGCTCATTAAATGGAAAGTAAACCGGCCCTAATTGGTATTGGGCTTTTCTGCTATTAGCCAGCATCTGAAAACGTTATGAACAGAAAGCAAACCCATACGGTGAATTACAAAAGCACCCTCAAGCTTCAACTCGAAGAACAAAGCTTACCTCACTCCGGCTTCAACACTCCGGCTTCAACCATTCCATACACCGCCTTCTGCCCTTCTCCAATAAGCTTAGCAGCCCACCAACAATGGGAAAAAGCAACGATTCTATTGCGAAAAGAAAGAACAAAAAGATCAGAAGAAAACAAAACGAATCTTCTAAAGTCTCCAGTCGTGTTGCCTGCATCATCGCCGCCAAGAAGCGTCGCCAATCTGGCAAACGCCGCATGTGCGAGGTGATTCTATCGTTCCTTAAAAAACCATTTTGATATCTACTGAGCTTTAATTCTGGTTAGCTACTATGAGTAGCTACTATGAGTACACAAGTAGATTTATAAAGAATGAGTGCTAACGTTGCTCTCAAATATTTTTTCTTGTCTGGTTTTGCTGGCTTGAAGAACCACTACATGTTGCACAATTTTCTTACTTGGAAATAGCACGAAATATATTTCTGATTAATTTAAGTTGTAAGAAATGCACTTCATTATCATTTTCTTGTAGTTGCTGGACTTGCTGGTTAAAAAGCATATTCTTTTGCATTTTTTCTTCAAATTGTTGCTTACGCTTCTACTGATTATGATTCCCTCTCCTTGAAATACAAATATTATCCTCTATTATGAATCAACAGGGCATGTGTTTCAGCCTGCCTACACCTGAGGACCCCTTCAATGAGAGGAATGGTAAACCAAATCCTCTGACGATAAGGAAGCTGGTGAAATCCAAGAAAGATAATAAAGTTGACAAGAAAACGGTTGCAACAGATAACAAGACTGAGAATTTACGGATTGAACTATTAGGAAAAGGAAAAAATCCCAAAAATGATGTACACCGACCTACAAGAAATGGAATTACAGATGATGCTGAAGACATGGATGTTTTTGAAAAAAATGCTGACCGTCCATCAAAGTTCTTGATGCTATGCTTGAGCACAATCCAGGATGCTCTGTCACATGATGGAGCCTTCAATGACAAGGGAGGCAAGCCTTTTTTTGCGCATTCATGGGGGATTGAGTTTTGGAAGCACTACATGAGTGGAAAAGATATTATGGCTACAAATCAATCTCATTCTCATGTTGATCAAATTGCGTGGATAGCATCTACTGCTGCTGATAGTATAGCAAAAAAGAAGAAAGGGCTATCATTGAGGAGCCCCTTCCTTCTGTATCTTGTTCCCTCTCGAGAGAAAGCTGTTGAGGTCCTACTTTCTCTCATGTACTTTGTTACTCCCTCCATTCCAAAAAATCCCTATCTAAAAACTTATGCTGGCCCCCAGTAAATCCTATATGTACCACAAAATGCTAATTCTCATGATATTAAATGTTTATGTTTTTAGGAAATAAGTTTCCCAAAAAGGTGAAGTTTAAATTTAGTGTAAGCACCAAATAACCTTTGAAATTGTACACATGTAGCTGAAATTAAAAAGTTGTACCTGGGTCAAACAATACTTGTTCTTAGACAGAGGAAGTGTTGCATAAATGCCCAATCTCAAAGAATTTGTTCAAATATAGTTTATAGAATTGTGGTTTAACCCTTCTAGATATGTGTTGCATTTAATTATATTTCCATCAGAAGCCATGAATGAAGTTGAATACTTGGATTGAATATCTGATGGGTATTGAAAGCATTAGTGCTTATCATGCAACATATAAGTATAAATAGTGTAGTTTTTACGAGCAGGAAAGAGTAGTTAATACGTAGTATTAGACTTGCACGGAAAAGAAACAAATCTGGTATAAGAAACTGCTGTCAGCCATTTTGGTCATGGCTGTCTTATATATTGTTGGAGTTATAACAATGACTTTTGTTTAGGTGCGCCAACTTTTCAAGACCTTGAAAACACTTGGAATTCATACAATCAGTTTGCACGCGGGTGCGTCCCTGGAACATCAATGTCAGGGGTTAGAATATTGCTCTTGCTTCTCTCTTGTGTGAAGAGGATCTTGATCTTTTGCTGAATACGCCATCTCTCTTATGAACACAATCAGTATTATTGGGCATGTAGCCACGTGACAAGTATCTGACTGTTCCATACCATATATGGCTCTAAGTTCTTTTAAACTTTTGTACCTATTTCATGATATGTCACCTATACAGTTAGGTTATGTTTCATGAATAGGACACAGAAATTGGTAGGGAAAGTAAAAAAATGCTTAGGAAATTATATAAATTTGATTTCTATAGTTTGAACCAATTTTTTATTTCCTCCCAATTTTTTTGTTTACCTATTTCTTTCGTGGCAAACTGGCAATCATATTTGGTTTCCAAGCAGACCCTTAGAGTTGGTATTATTGGTGACAGGCTGAAGAGTTGTGACCCAGAGTTTCTTGTTGCCACACCTGAGAGACTTCAAGAGCTCATCTCACGCAAAGCAATTGACATCTCTGAGGTTTCTCTAATGGTACTGGCATTCTGTTTTTCGTTCATATTATATTTTTCATCCTATCCGCAACGCTGTGTAAAGTGCTAGAGGGTGATGGGGCTTTGGGCGTTTAGTCAAGGTTTGGTGGGATGTAAATGGAATTAGGATGGGCCTGAGCTGGAAAACAAGACTACGGCTCTCAAGTAGAGCTGGCGAGGATTTTTATAAGAAATGCGAATCAGGATTTTTATAGTCTCTTAGTTGCTTGTTTCGAAGATTTTCGTTTTGGCTGAAATTTTTTATACTAGAAAAAATTCATATGCAGGATAAGCAAGATAAGGCTACCAAATGAAGCCTTATTCTCATAGAAATACAACATTTGCCATACATTTCATCTCTTTTTACTTTGATTTGATTCCTCACTACAGGTTGTTGATGGACCAGATTATGAGGTTGACAGTATTGCTGCAATTAAAAAAATTAAGCAGTTCATTTCTGGGAGGTCACAAACAGTCGTTTTCTGCGATACCTCAAATAATCCTTACTTTTCAGTTCTACAGAAGCTTTTGCAGGACTCATTCTGCAAAATACCCTGGTTGCATGAAATGTGAATTTTCCCATATGTATAGCCTTCTTAACAACTTCTGTTTGGTTCAGGACAGAGGACACAACTTACAGTCTGTTACACTTTTCCGTTTCATTCTACTTTTGCTTGTTTGACCTTCCAAAGGATTGTAATGATTATCAAGGTGATCAATGAAATGAATGAATTCTCTAAATGTAGTAATGTGCCATTTTCTGGTATGCTAAAGCTGCTATTAAACTTTAAATGACCTTTGGCTACAAATGTTCTTATGTTATGTTTTCTGATTGTGTTTTCTTAAAATAGTTGTGGTTCTGGATACCATTTGATCAGGTGTTTTGATATGATAATGGTTCTTGCAGAGGGGCTAGGGTAGGGGTGGATGTGGTTCGAGTTTCAGAATTAGACCGTCGATGGGCAAATTAACTTCCCGGATCATTGGTCGTTGGACAGATTGGGCGATTTTATGTTTTAATCCATAAAACAGTTACGCCTCAAGTGAAAATTGTACGGAGTCATTTTTTTTGAACCGCTCTCCGAATGATTTGTCACTTCAATTTATTTAAAACACCTAATAAACATTTTGTTTTCTTACCGTAGGATCTAATCACGTCCTTATCTTGCCTAAATTGTTGATTTCCTAAACTAATGGAGTCCTTTAAGAAATGAGAAGACTCTGTCAGTTAGCACGTGGTCCTTGCCCCTCTTTATCTTGTTTTAATAGTTTCCTTAACGAGTCTTTTACGGATGGTCCTCTCCATTAACTTGAATGGTCCTGTAGGAGAGAGATAGATAGGGGTGGACCGGTTCCCGTTCTGGCCGGGCTTCGATTCATGTTTTTTTTTTGCTTTTCCTAATTAACCCCCAATCCTCCACCTCACCCCCAAACCACACAAAACCACCTCAAATGACCCATCATACCCAGCCCAATCCGAAAACTAAAAAAAATTCAAAAAAAAAGAAAAAAATAAATAAATTGGCCCGGACCGGGCCTGAACCGGCTGGGCCGATTCACTATTTAGCAGGCCCGGGCCCGAACCGCCTACCTCATTGGGCCGGGTCGCCCGAACCGGGCACCAACCGGTTCACCGGGTCGGTTCAGGCCCGCACAGTAGCGGCCCGGTCCGGGCCCGCACAGTAGCGGGCCGGTCCGGTTCCGGGCCGGTTGGCCCGGCCCGAGTTCACTCCTAGAGATAGAGAGAGGTGGGGAAATGGTGGGGTAGGGAAAAAGAAAAGATTATGTTTAATTATTATTTTTAAAGAGAGAGATAGAGTGAAAAAGAAATGGACACAGTAAATGGAGAGGGGTATGATCCGATCCGTCTTTTACCATTCAAAAGCCCTCATAATCCTCACATTAGGATCCTTAACCGTGCTAGAAACCTGTCATAAGCTTGTTGAAAATGACACTATAAATGAGCTCAAATCAACCTAGTTGTGTGACTATTTTGTGTCGAACTTATTTTAAATGCAATGTGATGAAGTCTTCTGCATATCAAACTGCTATTATCTAACTCTACATTAGGCGTAAAAAATGGGTGAAAATGTAATGTTTAGTCTTAAAAATGATTTTGTAAATAGATTAAGAAACAATTACAAATAAATGTTGTTTACAACAATGTAACCTCCTAAATATATTGAGAATAGTAGTAACGTAATCATTTGTTGTAAATAAATTTTATTTTAGTAATATCTTCAAAAAAACTCAGATTACTTTTCTAAAGATAATGTTGAAATTAGTAGAATTATTTCAGGTATCTTTTTTTCATTTATACGTCATTACAAAATAGTAAAATGCTAGTAAGGATATTTCTAATTGTGCCGAAATTTATGCTTTGGTCAGATCGATTTAAGTCTGATCTAGTCAATCAGGACTGATTCGATTTTGTCTGAGCCAAATTGATATAATCCCTCCATTTCAATTTGATGGTCCTGTCGTGATTTACCATGTTTGACCGATGATAAAGCAAATCTGCAAATGCATCCCCTGTCTGCACTCAATTGTTTTTAAAATTACATATTCAGAAACTACATTAAAAGCTTTACAAAATCGCAAAAACTACAATCAAATTTGGTAAAAAATTGATATATAAAGCAAGAGATTAGGAGTGATTTGTTTTGAACAAAAGAATAGGAATTGAAACCATCAAATTAGGATGGAGGTAGTACTTAAATGTCCGTTTTATGTGTATTTTAATGTTATCGAAATCCTACACGAAATCTTGAACTGAAATTAATCCAATAATAACATTGTGGAGATCGAATTTTATGAGTCCATGATAGATGTGGATCAGTGAAGGAAAAAGCGAAATAATCAGAGAAAGTTGTGGCCACAGACAATGTATTGTGCTGTCGGGTCGGCGTGGGGGCTGGAGATTACATCTTTTTGGAACAATGTATTGTGTTGTGTGTGACAGTGGGGTAGAAATTGCAGCAGCTGTCCTTATCCTCCCGTTCAGCTTGCATAAACTAACAAACAATTATTTCTCTGCCCCACTCCGTTTCATTATACAGAGGATATCATCAACGAGATGACACCCCAGGGTTGAGGGCCCCCAATCCGACAAGACGGTGCTTTGAGAGGATGAAAGTATTTTGAGAGGATGTAAATTGAACTACAATCTCAATCTAACGTATAGAGAGTGTGGTTATGCCCCGTTAGAGCCTTATGCATTTTTAGTATAGTAACCTATTATCGAAATTCGAACCCGGAATCTAACCTTGTGGTACTCTCTTGCTATAAGTTGAGCTAAGCTCGGTAGCCCCTGACCTGTCATCGTCAATGATATTTCCTCTTTCCACTCAGAGATATACTCGTACTCTGTACTTCCTAAAACCAACAACTCATTGGAACATTTGAAAAACAAGGTATTGTTCCATAATCGAGAGATTATGGGTTCAGGTTTTGAGAAAAGTCTATTGTCAAAATTTGGTAAGGAAAGCTAAAAGCTTGCCCGGTGGATAGAGAAAGCTTGCTCGGAGATACTGTATGTCTGTATATGTCCTGGTATATTAATGGCATAATCATTGAGTTCTTTATAACTCGTGAAAAAAAAGGATATACTCCATTCTTGAGGCCCCCAACCGGCCAACTTCTATAGGATGGTACATTGGGAGGATATAAATTGGACTATAATCCTAATCTGACAGATAAAGAGTATGTCTCTATCGGATGGTACGAGTATATCTCTGTCTTCGGTACTTGCAGAGGTCCTATGCATATTTTAGGTTAGTAACCTCTCATCGCAGTTGCCGGAATTCGAACCCGGGACCTAACCCTTGGGGTACTCCCTCACTACTAGTTGAGCTACGCTCACCGGTTTCTTTATCACTCTTGGCATTCTATAAACGGTGTTTCCTTTTTTGAAAAAAAAAATAGTAGTGAGATTCTGGACCCGATCCTACACTTTTACTCGCTCCGTCCCCTGTTATTGTCCAGTGCCTATTCACTTCATCAACACAAAGCACATTTAATCTCTTACTTTATTTATCAAATTTTTATCAAATTTGACTCTGGTTGTTGCAACTTTGTAAAGCTTTTAATGTAGTTTCTGAATATGTAAATTTTTTTCTAAAAATAATTTGAGTGCGAACATGGATCCATTTGTTTTATTGTCAGTCAAACATCGTAAACTAGGGGTAGGCGTGGTCCGGAACGGTCCGGTAAATTGGTAAAACCCGTAATGTATCCGTGAGGTTTTTAACGGTCCGGTACGGTCTGGTTCCAAGGATAGAACCGTTTGGTACCATGTCGTTTCGGAACGGTACAAAACGGTACGGTGGCATGCCAAACACATGCTAAAAAATTGAACAAATCTTACAATTAGTAGATATCATCACACCAACCAATTCACATGAAATGTTGATATAAATACAAAAAATTGCATACATAGTACTAAAATTCACAAATACACAAATAGTGCAACACAACTAAGAAAAAACATAGCAAAACGATGACGCGCGAGATAAATATCATCTTTAATTTACTAAGTTCATGTGAAAATATAAAAACGAATATCATCAAATTGTTGAATATAATAGAAATCTTCAACGTTCTTCTTCTTCATTTTAGGTTAAATATTACTCCGTAGTTCTAATTTAATTATAGTTGAACCTTGAGAGCTAATATTTAAACCATATTAATTAAGTTGTAAAAATTGCACAAACATGATACAACAAAAAGTCATGTACACTACATTACTAGAAATGAATAGTCATTAATGATTTCTAAAATTTTAATATTCTCTCAATACATACCAAAATATAACATAAATTATCTAAAAAGAAAAAATAACAATATATAAAGTGTTGGTACATAAAAGAGATCTATTGGTATAGAATTAATATAAAAAATTCAAATGCATTATTTTCGAACGGTTCGGTCCGGTATTTTTTGGTTCTCAAAATCTAGGACCGGTCCCGTACCCGTTTCAAATGGTACGATTTCGGTACGGGATAAAAATCTTTAGAACCGTTTAAATACCCAGTATTCGGTTCGGTACCATTACGGGACGGTTCGGTAGCGGTTCGGTTCGGGTTTTATGTCCACCCCTATCGTAAACCACAATGAGACAATAATAGGGGGACGAAGGTAGTATATAATACCTTCTCATCGCAGTTATCAGAATTCAAATTTGACACTTATTCTTTGTGACACTACCTATCTAGTTGCGCCCATTCACACAATTTACTTTTTTAATTCAATCAGCCGGTGGATGTAGCAGAACTGGTATATAAGGGTGTCACAATGAGTTAACCTCGGCTTCACATCTCGACAACTTGTAGAAATGTATAGGATCTCTACAAATATCTGAGTCAGAACCTCGCTCGCTATCTGTCAACGTGTGATTAAAATCCAATTTACATTCTCCCATTTACGTGTGCGGGCGGTGCTTATGTTGAATTCTACTAACTTTCTACTAAATTAAACACTTTTTAGTTTATAACTTTATCCTTTTATCTATTATTTCATCCTTTACTTTTCAGGATATTTTATTCTTTTATCTATTATTTCATCCTTATTTTATCCTTTTATCTACTACCTCCGTCCCGCAAAGAAGTTCCCACTTTCCTTTTATGGATGTCCCAAAAATAAGTTCTCATTTCTACAAAAGCAAATCACTTTTAACCAAAAAGTCACAACCACCCTTACTTTTTACCCACTTTTTGTTTGATTTGGCATAAAGTAAGGGCATACTTGAATTGTCAAAACAAAAATCTACCCTACATAAATATTGATAAACCCAGATATTTAATAATCAAACAATCTAAGCAGTTAGAAAAGAAGCAGATAGAAAGATATCGAGAA